TACAAGGGGTTTTATGCAATATATAAATTTCTAGGGGTGCAACTGCACCTGTAGCTTGGATCCGCCTTGCATATCATATCCCCATACATGAGCTGAACTATACCATGAATTTGGTCATATTGATCCACTCCATTTAACCCTCCAATTCTCTTTCCTGCGTAAGAGCTAACATGATTAGGTAGGGGCTTCTGTTGTTTATTCTGGAATAGGGTCTGGGCATTTGAAGTGGTCAAATGATCGGATCCCCCCAGTGTTCACTCCTACTCCAAACCACCCTCATATTATGGGAAAAAGATTAGATTTTGATGATTTACCAGGCTAATGTTTGTTACGTACATAAATGTGCCTTGCACCCCTTATACTCTGTTAAAGGCTTTCTAATGTGACAATTTCTATCTTTACACCTTGTACCTAAGGGGCATTTTGACATCTTATCTTCGCTTGCCTTTGAGTTTCCACTAGTTTCTTCCCATTCTCCTAGAAACTGAGATATATGCGACCTTTAGTTTTGATCTTGTAGAAATGAATTGCCTTTCAACTACTTAATTGTTCTTTTACTTACCAATTCACATTTACTATCAAAGTTCAAAGGAGTCAATCCCATAACCACCCTGAAAATTCACAGAAGCAGTCCAACCTAAATATGCCCAGAAGGCAAATTATATAACTTGCAATATGGCAACCATGATCTAAAAAAATTCCTGCTCTAGCCCATGCAAGATTTGGTTCTCGGCAAGGAGTCTTAATCTGCATGGTTGAGCTGCAGAAGTGTTGTTGCTGACAAAATGGACAGCCTTCGAATTTTGTAGCTCAAGTAGCATGAGCTGCTTCCAGATCAGGGGTCAACATGTACTGGACATGTTATATTAATCTGCCACTTGAAATCTTAGACCCTTTTAATCTTGATTGTCGTTTGCTAATTGCTCAAGATAAATACTAATGCTAGCCAGGTTCCACCTGCATGGGTTGGAAACTTCTGCTGATACAATCAGGCTATTTCACTATTTAAGTCAATTTCCTTATTGGTGAGGTTGTCTTGAAGTGCAGATTTCTAGGGATCACTTCATCTTAGAATTAGTTCCAAGCACACTTTTTATGGGACTGCAAGGTTTCAAATGGTATTGTATGGGGTCAAGCCTAATCCAAAGAGCATCGATTTTTTAGAGGAATTAGTGTGCCATGCAAAATTATTGTCAAACCAGTGCACAATTTAGATTCGAGGGATGCCCCCAAGTGACAAGTCAGCAATATGAGCACTAAGTTATAAATATGATTACAGATTTGAAGCTGCATGCAGGGCTTTATAATTGGAAAAGTGGATAAGATAGGGAAAATCCTAGAGTTTGTTCTCTGCATGCACGTGTATTTTCATTTTTACAGAGATAAATAGCATAGAATTTTATTAGAGATCTATTTTGTTGCACTTTCACTTTAGATTTTATTGTATGCTCTTGTGCACGCAAGGTTTACCTAGCATATTTATTGGACGATACTTCTTAGAAAGTTTATTTTTCTCTTTACATAAGTTATTATTCATATTGTCAGCAAGTTTGAGAGTTTGTGATTTTTATTTATACTTATTCATTTCATTTACTTCTTAGAGATTTATCATATCCTGTGAATTAATTGTGCATCTTGTTCCTGGTTTTCATTTGCAACTTTCCCCTTCTGCGCAAAAAATGTTCTTTTGTCTTGATGTTGGTTGTTCTTTGTATTCATTCAATATGACTTTTTTCAAGTACTTACCCTTAGCTATTACACAATAAAAATAACAACTGCTACTATTCAGAGGATTGCGGAGCAACACTGACGCTGTTATTATGTTCCACTAGAATCACCAGTGTAATTGTTATGAGTTATTGTTTCTTGTAGAACTTATTATATGTAAGAAACTGACTGGCTGGATTATTTGTGGTCTTATTATTTAATGAAAATTCTAATTGTCTTTTGCTTAATTATGATCCTTATTTATATAGCTGCATGTGGTATCCAGATTTCATACATTGCCAGATTTTGATGAGGGCAAACGGAGTTGTAGGAGAAAATTAGAGAGACATAACAGGAGGCGGAGAAGAAGACCTGCTGACCTAGTAAGTACAGAAAACGAAAAGGGACCTCAAGCAGACCTTTCAGCAGAAACAACTTATGACGAGGAGTCAAAGGAAGGTATACCTGGTTTATCTCAAGCAATTGCTAGTTTGTTACACTTTTATGATTCATTTGGAATTGGGAATGCACTATTGATGTACAATTTGGCCTTTTGCACTGTTGTCTAATATTGACGTTTGTGTTACATTCAATGCAGAATGGGCAATCTATATGGCAATAAAAACTTCAATCTATGTGCAAATTAAAACTGCATATGTCATGTATGAATGAGTTACTAGTGAGGAAATTTAATAGAAATGCTCTGACTGTGCTGTGTTAATCTTTTGATGCCGATATTTAGAAAAACAGGCAGTTTTTAATCTTTTTTTTTAAAATATAAGGATTGTCAGGAGAAATGTAATCTTGAGGAATATTTCATTTTGTCTTTTTGAGCTTGAACATGTGAGACTCACATCATATCCATCCTTATAATCCATTCTCCCATAGTCATTTCTAACATCTATCCCACGGCTAACTTTCAAATTTCTTTGGATGTTGCACCCGTACACCTTGTATGTTTTGGCACACATGACATTGCTTTCTTATACCATGTTAAGCGAGAAAGCTTTTGCTTAATTCTTGCAGTTTTTAGAGTTCTGTCACCTTCCATGACCATTTCTGGATTCTTTCTAGCCTCTAGCCCTTATATTCTTGCAGGCTTCTAAGGTGCGCTATCCTTGTACGTGGGTGATATTTAATTAGTACTTACTTGAAAAATCACCTCAGTAGCTCTTAGGCTAGTGTCAAGTTTCTTCTTTTGAACTGCAGATTTCTAGGTATTTTGATAGCCTTCTTTTTTCAAAAGTGCATTCACATGAGCTGTTATTTGGTTATGCTGTCATTCTGTACTTATATATCTGTTCCAGTGGAGAAAATGTAGTGGGGATCCATTGAGGTAAATCATGCTGTAATACTTCAACTCCCAAGATCTTGGGATACAATTATGCTCTTTCAGTTCTCCATTTTCATGAATTGTTCTTATAGAAGGCGCAATCTTAACTTGGTCAAATAAATTGTTAAGCAACACCGCCAGATTCTGATTATTTGTAAGGCTATAATCTCCAAGATACCTGTTGCAATCCACTAGTGAAAATGATCTTTAAAGGTTTGGTTGAAAAAAGTATCATATCTCAAGATTTCGCTTCGAGTTTGTCAAGTGGCCCTAAAATTCAGGCTATTCAGCTAATAGTTATTCCTGTGTATAACTCACTTCTAGGATTTACTTGAAAATTTTCTTGTTGAAATAATTTACTGCCCACAACACTAACCTAGCATTTGAACCATCCAATTTGCCCCCCCCCCCCCCCTCACCCAAACACACACAAAATGAAGACACCATTTTTTATTTGGAGGTATTTTAAGCGACATGAATGTTGAACTTGGTGGTAGTCAGCTTGTTTTCCTATTATCAAAATTTACGTGAATACCTGCTTTCAACTCCTTTCTAAAGGATCTAAGCCTATTTAAGAGGGCCTGACTACTACCCTGTATCATTTTGCTAACGGAGCAGTCACTTATAAACATTATTCGCCACATACATGTGCTCTCTTTAAGAGGGCCCGAATGCTTCCCTGTTATCATTTTGCTAATGGAGCCATCCCTTATAAACATTATTCACCACGCATGTGTATATTGCATCTAATATGATACAGTTCAATATAATTATGTGCTTTCTTGGGTTTTATTTAGATTATGCTCTTATGTTTTCTGATTATAAGTTGGTCCTTATTGACTTATGTATCATTGCAACTGTGAACTAATGTACTTATTCCTTGTTTTATTCTGCTTTGACTCTTGAGCAGAGAATGACTTTGGTTGTGAGACGGTTCTAAGCAGTAAAGTGAATGACAGAGAAGTATTATTAGAATCTGATGATGGACATGTGTCTCCCATTTGTTCGCTTCCTAATTCTCAAAATATGCAGAGCAATGGCATCAACTCCTTTGCTGTTCCTGGTGAAGCTCATATCGAGGAAGAAAAAGATAATTCTAGATCTGGCCTTTCCTCTTCAATTTGCGACAACAGGACTGCTTATTCATCTGTGGTTAGAACTTATTGCTCTTTATCCTTTTAGCAGACTAGTCGTCAGTTCTTCTGCAATAAGTCAACGAGATTTTTTGTTTGATAATATGTGAGTTTCATTCTTAATGTTACTTCTGAATAATGATGCAATATGTGACTGTAGTGTCCAACAGGACGTATATCGTTCAAGCTTTATGATTGGAACCCTGCAGAATTTCCTAGGCGTCTACGCCACCAAGTACGTTTGATTTTTAAAAGTGCCATTAGCATTTATAAGAGCAATGTATCTTTCACGTGGGAAGTTAGGGGAAATTCTAATGATGTAAGTATTACAAACATGCAGATATTTCAATGGTTGGCCAGCATGCCAGTGGAGTTGGAGGGTTATGTCCGCCCTGGCTGTACAATATTGACCATATTTATTGCTATGCCGCAATTTATGTGGGAGAAGGTAATATTATTGTTATCTTCATAATTAATTGTGGATTATCATCGAGATATCTAAATAATACTCCCATCTATGTTTAATGGAAATGCATTTTATGTTTATTGTGAATGGACTATTTTTATGAACCTTTCGTATTTGGCTAACAATGATATTGCAGTCACTAGACCAAATGGTTACTTTATGCCAGGTTCATTTACTATTATGCCACTATTTACTTGATGGTAATTGGAAAATCCTTTTGTTACTGCACAGTATTCCTTATCAATATAGATCATTTAGCTTTCATCTTCACCATAAAAGAGAGTGCAGGAACATAAAATTATTGGATGCTGAAATTAATGTCATGTATTTTGGAGGAATCCTGAAGGTTGCTTTAGTACAAATGGACTATAACTCATCCATTTTCATGTAGAACAACTTGTGCTTAAGATAGTTTCTTCATGTTTTTAACCATGAAAAGTATAAATGAGTCTCAAAAGATATGAGAAAAACCAAGCAATAAAGTTTTAGTGGCCCTGCCTACTACCTGCACTGGTACTTTGCTATCAAGATACCTATAAAGCCTTCCTGACAATTTTTTGTGTATTTTATATGGTCATAGTTGCAACTTATTGCGTCATACCCAATGGTTGGAACTTTGTGGTGTTTCAGTTGTCCCCTCTCCTGAATCCCCCTATCTTTGAATCCAGCTAAAACTCAATTGTGCTTGGGTACTTGTTTATAGTCAGCTGCAACAAATGTTATCAGTGGATCATATATGTTGATACAAGAGGTGGGTTTCTCATAGATAAATGATGTTTTATCAGTAAGGTAATCATCAATCTTTATGGCATTAAAATTCCAAATGTTTTCTGGTGGACAGTGAAACTCTATTTTAAATGGGGGAAACCCATACAATGCAAGGAAACCGGTACATGTCAAGCCTAACAGTTAAAGTACCTCTTTCTGGTTTTTTTCTGATTGCCATGATTAATTTGTACACCTATCTGATTGCTGACTTCATTATTAGTTATACTTGAATGAGCTTTCCAGTTGTTTTCTAGTCACCTGTGCTCATGTTATTATGATTTCATTGTCTCTGTTAAATTGTGAAGCCTTGATCAGAAACTGATGCTCATATTGTTCGCAAACAGATATCTGAGGATGCAGCTCTCTATATAAAAGATCTGATCAATGCACCTGAAAGCTTACTACTGGGAAGAGGCAACATTTTTATTTTCCTCAGCAACATGATTATTCAGGTACTGAAAGGTATGCCATTGCTGAACTTATTTAATAGTATCTTAATTTGTATTGATGTGATTTACTTCATACACTGTTATAATGCAAGCCCCTGATGGGGGTTTCAATGTGAGTTCAAGTTAAGACTTCTCATTGAATGAAACCTGATACATCTGCTCCACTTAGAGAGGAAAAGAAATAAAAACCACTACTTTCTTCCTTCCCAAACATCCACATAGCGTTGCTTTACTTCTAAAAAATTAAGCCTTGGATCATTCTGATTATCTTTCACATCTTTGCTGAGAAAAAGATGTACCCAAACGGAACCCATTCAATTGTCATATTGTTTGCCAAGGAAATAGTCACATGTGTCGGACCCACACCAGTGATACACTGAGTTATTTGAGTTATTTCATTTTGAAATGCTATGGAATCCACTTCTCCCCCACCCAACAAAAAATAAAAAAATAAACAAAATAAAAAAACCACAAACAATGTTACAGAAGGCGCTAGACGGACTAGACGTTTGAGCCAGCGCCTAGACGGATAGGCGCACGCCTAGGTGTTTGGCCATTTTTTAAATTATTTAATTATATAATTAATAAAATATGTATTAAGTTTATATAAATTTGCAAAAAAAAAAATAGCAATCTTAGATCCACAATAAACCCTCTTAGATCCACAATAAACCATGCATACTTAAATACTAAATAGCCGAAATAATAACTAATAAGGTTATAAAAAACGCTAGTAGGCCTAGACGTTGGACGCGATGCCTAGAGCCTAGGAGGTTTTCTTTTTCTATTTTTTAATTATAATGGTTGATAGTAAATGTCAATGTTATAGAAAGATTAGGTGCCTAACTGGTGTCTAGACAGATTTCTTTCCTCATTTAAGTGGTGGTCGAGGAAGTTTTGCTAAAGGTCAAAGAAGGTAGTAGAGGTGTTCATATTTGGAGGTTAAAGACTTTTGAAGGAGGTTGGAGGATACAATACAGAAAATCGCAATGAAGGCCTAAAGGGGCAATCTACATAAGCAGACAGTGCTCCCCTACACTCCCAAAATCTAGGTGGGCAGCTTAGGTACAGCCCAGACACTAGGCGCTAGTTATGCGGCCTAGGTACCGCCTAGACCTAGGCGTACGTCTAGGTGGACTAGCAGGAGGCTTTTTAAAATAGTGATCACACACAAACTACCACCACTGACCACCATCACCCAAAAAAAAAAAGAAAGAAAAAGAAAAGAAATGATGCCTATCATGAATGGGAGAAAAATAGAAGGGGTAGTTTTGCCATTTTTAAAGATTGTCAAGTTAAGGCATCTATTCATTCACATTATCATATTATTTAGAAGCATATTAATTAGATACTTAGGTACCTGCATTCTGTGTGTTCAGTTACACCAGAAGCATGCAATAATATAATTTTACACCTGCACTTGAGAAACCAGAGGTATCTTTACCTCAAGTTGATAGATTTAAATAAACATCATTGTTTAGAACAGTGGAATAGTTAAGGAACTGACATTTTCTATACTAAAGTTCCACCCCTTTAGTGATGAATTAAACATCAAGATTTATAAATTATCAGTTCTAATACACTTTTTTTTGTGCATATCCATCTACTTATCATGCATATGTCTTAGACCCATATTTCCTGTGCATTAAACTTGCTGGAAATCTAGATTCTATTTGGATTTGATAAAGCCAATTTACCTTTTTTACTTTTCTTTTGGTTGTATTTGTAATTTGTTTTGGTCTGGTGTCTCTCTTTCTAGTGTTTGTTTGATTTTCCTTCTAATGATGAAGTATGGTAAAACGCAAAAGTCTTGATTAGATTCTGATGGTTATTTGTTGGTTAGAGTGTTGAATTGTTATCTTTGTAAGCAATATGAGTAGATCTTCTCCTGCCAGGGAAGCAATCCCGTGCGTCTTAAATATTATTTTTATAACTTATACATTTTTTTTCATTGGACTGTGTTCAGCTTGAAAGCTTTTTTGTAGTAATGGCATTTCAATGAGAAGGCCTTGGTCTTGTGCTGCAGTTCTGATACAAGCTGCTGATCTGTTGTCTAATATAGGAATAAGCTTTAAAGAAGGGAGTAATCAAACATTAATGATTAATAAGGTAGGAAGAACTTTATGTAGTAAAGGTCTCTAGCAGATTTTTCTCAGTATAGGAAAATGTGAATTTTATTCGGGTGTACAATTTGTGTGAAGTCACTACTCAGAGAATCTATGTTCTTATGAAGATAAATAAATACTTACAAGTTGACTTGGGCTGCAAAACTTGGGCTAGATTGCGGGCTATTGGTAACCTTCTTTAAGAATGTTAAATAATTTGCCCTAAGCTCTATGTATCATCTCTTTTTAAGACCTCTTTTCTCATCTAATTTTTAAGAGATTATTTGGCATGATGTCACATGAGGGGTCATGGAGAGTTAACTTCCCATTAACCTGCTATATTGGTAACCTTCTTTAAGAATGTTAAATAATTTGGCCTAAGCTCTATGTATCATCTCTTTTTAAGACCTCTTTTCTCATCTAATTTTTAAGATATTATTTGGCATGAGGTCAAGTGAGGGGTCAAGGAGAGTTAAACTTTCTCCTTAACGTGCTATATGTAGACAAACATTTATGCATGGAATTAGGTGAGTTAACCCTTTGGCCTTTGCCGAAGGTATATTATGAAAGGGTTAATATATCCATTTTAGTTGGGTTAAAAGGAGTTGTCCTCTCAATGTAAAGGGTTTACTAATCCTCCTCTTTAGATGGGGTAAGAACTATTTATTTAGTTTATAAAGAAAATAGTAATTATACTCGCTATTCCCAATAAGGAAGCACACAAGGACTAAAATAAACCTTTACCAATAGCGCTCCGTTTGAGTACCATATTGTTTTCTATGTTGTGTTTTTATAAAAAAACACAATGGTGTTGTGTTTTCCCCTAAATTGTTTTCAAAATACCATGCTGAGTGTTTTTGGTCAACACTTGTTTGACCTATTATAATATTAGTATTAAATATATGACAATAGTAAATATAATATAATATAATATAGAATAATGTATTATAATATTATATTGTACTTTAATGTATATATTACATTATAATTATTACATACTATTTTCAAATAAAAATATATTTAATTATTTTGGTCTTAATTTGTTATTGCAATATATTATATAATATTTTAAAATATTATTATTTAATAAAATAATAAAATAATAATAATATTATATGTTTATTACTAGTATATTACTTATAACCATTAATAATTTTTTAATATTTCAACATTATATAGTATATTATAGTTTCTAATATGTTAGGAGTTTATTAATATACTTAGTAATATTAATTAATTATTATATAAAATAATCATTATTATATCTATAATAATATTTAATTATTACACTAACATTTGTTAGCAATTAACGTTATTTTAGTATTATAAATTATTTTACATTATTAATATTATACTTATTTCATTATATAATATATAATATTATCTTATTTATGTAATATATTTGATTTATATTATATTACATTACTATATAATATATGCTATATATTATATTATTATCATATTATTATTCTATTTATTATTAAATTTGTTACCATTATATAACCTTTTATACTTATTAATTTATTACATATTATTTATTAAAAAATTAATAATACTATAGTGATTATAATATCGTATAGTATATTATTATATAATGATTACATTATTATTTGTTATCAATGACATTATTATTATTTTTATTAATTTATTTATATTTTATTATTGTTTATTATTATATTAATTTAACTATATTAATATACAATACATTTTCTATATATTAAATATTAGTATTTAATATGTTATTATATTATTATATAAGATATTTTAGTTATTAATATATTTTATATTATTTAATAAATATTACTAATATATTAGATGAACTATAATATAGTATAGTATAGGATAATATAATATAATATAATAAGCATGTTGATAATGACTATATATTAATTATATTTAATATGTTATATTAGATATTATATTAACACCTCCTCGGGCTTAACCAAAACACTAAACTTAAAGCACCTAAAAAGTGTTTTAAAATAAGTTTTGTGTTTTTAGTTTGAGGATGACTTAGCTCACAAAACACTATGGTTTCCAAATGCATGGTGTTTTGTTTTTCGCAAGAGCACAATAGTAACAAGGAAAACACCATGGTATCTAAACGAAGCCTAACTAATTTAATCATCTTTACTGTAAATGGGTTAACTAAATTAACCCTTCTTAATCCCTCGTGATCTTGCCTAATAGGCCTTAGGCACTAGAGTTGTATTTTGCATATCAGATATATTTTAAATCCTTAAGTGCACGGTGTTAATTGTAGGATGGCATTAATTAGATGTGAATTGAGTACTTTTAGCTGTTAATTGTTACAATGCCGTAGCATATGAAAAGGCATTTGTATATTGATGTCATATTTATCGGCTACATTACAACCGTCGTTATTAATTTCATTAGTTCAATATGGAAATCATTATGAGGCTATTATGATGGAAATTCACGAGCTGGGAAACATGACTGTGCCTTAACAACCATAATTAACAATTACAGTTAAAATAATGTTGAAAATAACGATAGCACACACCGTAACTCTCGCCGCTTGATATAATATAAAACAAGACAATGTCATTGTCGCTTAACATAGGTGACACATTTTATCATTTATTATAACAAGAATAAGGACATCATTAAAAGATGTCTAAAGGTTTAACAATCAATTCAAAAGTAAATGCTTAACTTTTCAAGTTCTAAACAAAGAAAATACTCTGAAGTCTCTATGGTTATATTGGATAATATAAATATACTGAAGTAACGTATGCTATATTGAAATAATGTATTGAAATAATGCACATTATATTGAAGGAATATATGTTTTTATTGTAATAACGGAGAGTTATGATGTGTTCAAGTTATTTTAAAAGGTCACATAATATTTAAGGTTTGTTATGTTACATAACACGAAGTAATGACTCGTGTAACGATTCTCCCCCCAGCAATGGTCTTAAAAATTTACAATCTAAGTTATCTAACTATAAAGAATCAAGGTTTACTAATCAAACAGATACAGAGTTCATGCAAACAATTTTGTGTTTTCTATAGGTGTATAACTAATGAGTCATTATACTTTTGTTGTATATTATATATGCAGATGGTTACTCTGCACATCCTTATGTCAAGTGAAATCTTATACTCTTTAATCTTTTCTGGTGCTGTATCCCTATTTATGTTGTGTTGTCTTTTTCTTCTCCTACTCTTCTACTAGAGTAGAAGAGAATATTCCTAGATAGATCGAGGACATCAATAGCAGGCTCCACAAAAGGATTGCATATGATTTACAATTGGTTGTCCACTTCTTGCTGAATTTTTTACTAGTTGTGGCAATGGTTCAGTATGAATTAATTGTTAGATAGAGGTCTCCCATGAATATGGAAGCATAGATGGGTTCATAGAAGGTCTATAAAATATAGATAATATCCATTTTGGTGCAATTGTTTTCTTAGTGCGTCTCAATTATCGACCTTAATTTTAGACATGTGGTTACGGGCTCTATTCTTCATAACATTTTGCGCGTGCAAGCACACTTTCACATGCACACACACAATACACATGCATGAAGCACACACATCTATGAAACACATGAACATGTACATATACATATACATATTATGTTAAAATTTTCAGGTTGGACTAAAATTTGGGAGTGTCCTTGTATTTTTTTTGTGATCTAGATCATTATTACTCTTCCTGAAGTATCTAATGCAACCTTTTACTCTAGATGGATCATCATTAATGAACATAAAGATGGAGGTCAGAGCTCCAAGGATTCACTATGTTCATCCTTCTTATTTTGAAGCAGGCAAACCTATAGAGTTTGTTGTATGTGGCAGTAATCTTAACCAGCCAAAATTTCGGTAAAGTCACCTTCATATACCTTCATATGGGATGACTGATGATCCACTTGCCTCTATACAGAATCACAAACATGATTTTTGTTGTATACCGTTTATTTTTGTCAATGCACTTTATTTGTTTTTGTAGAAATGAAAGTATTACTGCTGTTCGTATATGATATTTGGACAAGTAACATGTTGTATAAGTGCATCTAGTTCCATTTATGGAACCTTCCTGGCTTCCCAAGAGTTTTAACCACCAGCAATGACTTCTACTTTTAGGCAGTTATATATCAGGTCTCAAGATGACATAAAGAAATCCATGAAAGCCATTTGCCTAATTTGCTGTCCCAACATAAAACTAAAGCAATTTTTACTAGTTTCTTTCCATAAGAAATTTGATGCTTTAAATAGCGAAAGAAACTTTATACAGAGCAGCTAGATAAGAAAGTAGGAAAAACAGGAAAGCAACAAAGTTCAGTGTTCACTGATCACAGAAAGGTACAATGTCTTTTATTGCTCTAAACCATCCGCAATTTGACTAGTAGGAATCCTATCAGAATGCCCTGCGGGGGGCATTTATGGTCCAAGGGATTTGGCTTTTTTTTTTTTTTTGGGGGGGGGGGGGGCCATGTTAGGCACAATGAACCCTGCACCATGCTGGGTTCTTATAGAATTCCTACTCCAATTAGACTCAGAAAGTTGCATTCATATATAATATAATCATATGTGTAGCTCCTTAAAAGTAGAATCTAACTAGGTAAGCAAAAAGTGACATATGCGACGTCCTTTCCCTTTTTTCTCCATCTGAAAAATATGATTTCTTTATCAAAGAAACATATGTTGCACGACTCTTCCCTCTTAGATATCTATAGTCTATATAAAAAAGCCCTATTACCTAAAGAGTTTGTGTAAAATTCTTAAGATGATCTTGCCCCTTCTAGCTTACCATAACCACAAGTGTTGCTAATAGTGTATCTCCAATGTGCTTTTGCATTACAAAATCTCCTTAGACAATTTTATCCTTGACAAATTGAAAATTTGCATTTAGTTTTATGTGGAACTAAGCTTGACTGTCACTTTATACTTGCCAAGTGCACAAATCATCGACAAGAGATCCTCTGAATCCTAAATTGTAGAGAGTGCCTATGATTGTATAGGTGGATAAGATTGGTTAATAAAATAGGCCCCACAATTAAGAGAGTTTTTATATAATTAATTCAATTGATATAATACGTGGGGTCCATACTCCATAGAGTGAGAGAAGACTAATTGCACCTAGAATCTAAAATAGATACTAATTGCACTTAGATATCACTGTTCAACCAAATTTGTAATAACTAAACTGTGAGATTTTATTAAGAAATAAATAACGGCTTTGGGAAATGCCTATCACATTAGACTGATGTAGTTTATTTTAAGCATGAAATTTATTTCTCTCTCTTTTACTCTTAGAATTAGTACATCCACTAGCTTATATACTTTATGAGCTATATATGAGCAATAACCCTCTTTAACCTGGACGATTATCAAATAAACCCTCGTACCTCTCAAAATATAGAAAATAACCCCTTAATTTTAGGGGTTATCAGAAAACTCCTTTTAACTTTAAGATTTTATTAGAAACTCCCCTGAAAATGTGAACCATAATTTTTGCGGGAAAAACATGCCATTTTTTCCCTTAGGAACACCAAGAAAAATAGTCTTGCTATAGGGGTAGTATCCAAGCCCAACCTCTTAGGAGAGAAGAAAATTTAGTATCAACCAAACTCTTTGCTTAATAATGCTTTTGAATAAAACAGATTACTTTGAATAAATTTTATATACGAGATCCAAAATTTGTAATTAAATAATAGGAATCTTACTATTTGGATTAGCCCTACATGAATTAGAGCTGGAACAACCTTTTTTCTCTCTCCATTTTTATCTATCATCCTCTTTAAATTCTCTTCTCATTTATACTTTTTCAATTTTATGCAAAATCTATAAATAGCACACGTGCAACACATGTGCACCCTCACTAGTGTTAAATAAGATGGTAGAATAATATGAAGCTTTATAAAAAGATCTTGTTAAATCTGTATAATTAGATGTTGTGAACATATTAATTTTGTCTATAGCCAAATGAATTTGCAGATTCTTTCAAGTATATTTCTTCATTGATAGCAATTTTTTGGAGAACTAGGTTAATTTGTTATAAACATATCCTAGAATGATTAATGCTACATGAATGCAACTGAAAATATGTAATTTTTTTATTTTTATTTTTTTTACAAAGTGTATTGTTAAGGGATATGAAAGATGCATCAATAGACAAACCATCTCCCTAAGAGCATTAATCCATGCAAAGTCTTAGAATAAGCAAATGTATGACCATTTAATTGAGTTTCTTTAAAGAATAAAGGAAGAAGGTTAGATTTAGCAATAAAGAAAATTAAAACAAATTATATCTAAACTCCCAATAACCAAATTAATTATGAATTTTGATCTATGCACACATCAGTTAGAATGATTTTAAAGACACAAATCAAAGTTACAACTAATCAATCTCGTTAGAAAAAAATAACCAAAATAATAAAAAGAAAAATAAAACATTACCTCACCATGTTTAGACGAAGAAGAAAATATGACTACATTCTTTGTTTTATTATTTATTGACTGATGTATATCTCTCTAGTCCCTCCTTGGCCTCACAAATGGAACATTGGTATTGGACTCAAATAATTTGACAAGATATAGGATATTTTGATAAGTAATTTGATAGATCAAATAACTTTTCAAGATATGGGACATGGCTTAAATAAGATTAACATCAAAAGAAGACTTAGAAAGCTGTATTCATATGTAATCATATGTGTAGTTCTTAAAAGTAATATCTAACGGGGTAAGCAAAAAGTGACATGCCCGACTTCCTTTCCCTTTTTTCTCCATCTGAAAGATATGATTTCTTTATCGAAGAAACATATGCTGCAGGACTCTTCCCTCTTAGATATCTATAGCCTATATAAAAATGCCCTATTGCCTCAAGAGTTTTGCATAAAAATTTTAAGACGATTTTGCCCCTTGTAGCTTACCATAATCACAAAGTTAGTTTTCACAGTTCATGATTACTTATTAAATTCAGTATTGTTTTCCCAGTATATTGCAGACCAAAGTTAGTTTTCACAATGGTCACAATTTGTATTCTAGTATATTCTTATGAAAGTATATATTTCAACTTGTAAATTTACATATCTATGCCATATATTAAGGAAAAGGTTTCCTTGTAGTCATTGTGACCCACAATTTCTGAATTTCAAAAGTACTTACATTTGAAAAAAATTAATTGTAAATGCCCTCACATTTAAAAATAACAAAAAAAGGAGTGTTCTCATACTTGAAAATGCCCTTCAACTAGGAAAAATCCAAAAAATAAATGAAAATACACTTAAAATCATATCTTTTTGTTTCCTTGTTCATTAGATTACAATACTCCCATGTTTTGTTTGATGCATGCATTGCTTGCACCAAAGTACCAAGGTTTTAAAAAGCGCACAAAGGCTCTGGCTAATGGTTCTTAGTGTTTGGACTCATTTTCGAACCCAATCCATACCGGACACATTGTTATAACTTAAAGCTCCTTTCTTTTTTCCTTTCTTGCCTTCACGATTCTCCCATTTACTGTCGAACCCAGAGACACACCAGAGCCCACAAATCCTACTGGTTATCGCCTCGTCCACCTACCCTCTGTTCACTGCCTAGACAAAGCTTAGCTCCTCCTTCATTGTCACCATTGACCATAGTCTCCAGTAGCTCCTCAGTGAAGCTCCAACAACTTCTTCCTTTGTCTCACTCCTCCCTCGACCACAGCAACTCCTCGATAAAACTTCACCATTGATTTCTCGACTACAACACTCTTTACTGCCTCCAGCAGCTCCTCACTGACGTTCCTCCACTGATTTCCTCAACCGGACCACTTTTTTTACTTTGTCATATTTTTTTCTCCTCTTTGAACCGTTTAAGCCCCAAAAATCCTAAGCAGCACCTCACCGCTTCGCTCCACTTTTCTCTTTCCACAACCTTGCAAAGTACTAGTTTCTTATAGAAACGCCTTGGAGGGTTCTGTAACCACCAGTTAATATTAACTGGAGTCTGGATATTACTTATTAATGTAATACGTTACTTAAAAGCGAATCAGCAACTGCAGTGGTGGATGGCTAACATGTGATGCTGTAGTGATGTTGATGGTCAGCACATGATGCTGAGATGCTCTGACAGAAGGTATTGTTCAAATCAAAAGGGAGTAAGGAAGGAT